CTCCTGCAGTCCCTGACCACCAAAGTGTAGCAAATTTGCTCGTTTTTTGTTCGAGTCTTCCATCCCCGTGGCTTCGATATAAATTGAGAATGCTCCATTTCTCCCATCGTAGGCCTACAGAACGTATATCTCCCTCGACGTCCAATTGACCCAAACTAGCGTAGTTCGCATTCATGTTACCTAGAACTATATTTTATTTCATTGTCATTTTATCATTTCTGCTATTATTATTATCGTTAATATCATTTCCAGTGGTAGATAACATCAAGATCCTATAGGTTATAAGTGCCCCTACTCACTATCGGCTTTGTCTGAGTTCAGGCTTCTCCAATATGTTATGATTTGTTACAATCCGTTTGGTATATAGGTTAATACCCAGGCTTTTGGTGCTCAGAACTGACGTTCTTTCGAGCGTTCTTTACAGCTTTGTTTTAGTCTGTGACCCTTAGACAATTTGTCTATTCGAGCGTATGCTCAGGCCTGTGGCCAACTGAACTCCACGTCCTTCGAACCTTTGTTCAGGTCTGTGACCTTTAAGATTGCAATTTGTTATCTGTACTTACGATTTTTTCAGCAGTATCCTTCCTTTTTAATCCTCGTCGCCACTGTATTATGTTTAAACACGGGATATAAGGCACGTTGGAATAAAACAACTTTTAACTTCATTCGCTGACTGTCACACAACGACTGACTCAACCCCCGATCATCCAAGTCGTTATCACCCGATGAGTCAGTAGTGTGTGCATCATTCCTTTATTAGCTAATCTGCATACTACACTATTAACAATCGTATCATAAATTATGTACTAACTAATTAAGTGTTTCCCAATATTTCGTTTTACATTTTTTCATCATAAACTAGACAGGTTCATTCACATAAGAACCGACATAGAGCAGGGGCATGTAGGAGGTCCCAAAATATGGCAATTTAACGCAAATCACCTCTATACCAAGTTGCTTCCCTAAGGAGTTATAGGCTTTGAAAGTGAAGTTATAAATTTTGAAAAAAATCAATATCTCCTTTATTCTTGAACTTAAAGCAACCAAAGTTGGTACACTTTGTGGATGTATTTAGGGCGTTACTACTACTAGGGCGACAGTAACTAGAGCTCAATTGAAATTTTTGAAGGGGGTATACCGGGTGGCGCACCATTAATATTCAACAGAATTTTGTTAACCCTCGATGGATTTCAAAAATATTTGCTTTGTTGTGTGGGCAATTCAATTCTTAAACTTTTCGTAGTCTAGTAATTTTTCGAAAAACCTCATCATTTTCATCAAAAACTAGAATAACTGAAAACGCCCGCTCTAGGTGTGTTATTTAAAATCATCGAAAATTCAAAAGTTGGCTATGGAAATAAACGTACAATGAGAAAGTAGGTAATTAATTGTGATCAGTAGAAATTGGCTGGAAAATTATTATTTAGATACGTAACAAAATACGTAAAGTAAGGACAGATACTGAAATGTGAAAAACTGGAATTAACAACTAACCAAAATAAACACAAAAAACTTGAACAACAACCAGAACAAACGATTGTTTATCGATAAAATACTTAATTGGACAACTTACTTGCTTCATTGTCGAGTTTGGCGTTTATTTTCATAGCCAACTTTTATAAATAACACACCTAGAGCACGCGATTTCACTTATTCGAGTTTTTGATGAAAATGATGGGGTTTTTCGAGAAATTACTAGACTAAGAAAAGTTTTAGAATTGAATTGCCCACAAAACAAAGCAAAGATTTTTAAAATCCATCAAGGGTTAACAAAATTCTGTTGAATATTAATGGTGCGCCACCCGGTATACCCCCTTTACAAATTTCAATTGAACTCTAGTTACTGTCAAGTTACGCCCTAAATACATCTACAAAGTGTACCAAATCTGGTTGCTTTGAGTTCAAGAATAACGGAGATATTGATTTTTTTCAAAATTTATAACTTCACTTTCAAAGCCTATAACTCCTTAAGGAAGCAACTTGGTATAGAGGTAAGTTGCGTTGAATTGCCATATTTTGGGACCGCCTACATGCCCCTGCTCTATGTCGGTTCTTATCTGAATCACCCTGTATAGATATCTTTTCATCGAAATTACACAGGAGAGAGCTGATGGGTAGGTAATATCATACGATATAGTCTGGTAAAGCGCGGATGCTTTTTATTGGCCCGGTGCCGGCTGGATAATAGTTAAATGATTTCAATATACCATACAAAGGGCTGATGTTTAGACGACGTAGTGAAATGGCATCACGATTTGATACTTCTGGTCCAGTGCTGGCTGGATTATGGATAAACGATTACAATATACCATACAATGGGCCGACGTTCGCCCGTTGCAGCTCAGCCATTGCCAGCACTCTGCCAACTGATCATGCATTGGGTCAGAAGGCGGCCAGAGATTCGATGTTTGCTGGGTATTTATGAAGAATCAGATGTTCTACTGCGGATAAATAGTATGGGGTTATTGGACTTCTGACTACCCTTATCGAGTCGTGTCAATTTATTCAGATCAGGTTAAGTTTGTATTAATTCGTACATATATTGTATATACTATTTAAACGTGTGTATATAGGACAGCACTGCCTCATTCACACTACACCCAGTCACCTTTTTTCAACTCCAAAGAAGGCTGTGGAAATCGAACCCACACGATCGAGGTATGGTGCAACATGTCCTATATGTTGAAGGTGGGATGTTGATCTCTAAAAGTTTTAGTTTCTTCTTTAGTTCACTTTGTTTTCGAAACCCAGAGTTATGCTCTTTAATTTCAATAATCACCGCGCTAGGAATTGAAAGAAAAACGGCCTTTCCTTCATAAGGATGTTTTCATCTAGCTGCTAGTGTACATACCTATGGAAAGAATAAAAACTTGACATTTTCAAGGGAATTCATGTCGATTTCATCTATAGTTGCACAGATCTCAATACTATGATGACTAAAACACTACCTGCTCAGTTTTACTTCATGCTGCATTTGAAGTTTCGAAAAATCATGAGAAAAATCGCTTTGTACAGGGTGTCTGGAAAAAGGTAGGGCTGATATAATGGGCAAAAATGATTTTAGTACTTTACATAAAAAAATATCTATTGCACTTCAATTGTTATCAACCCTGAAAGTTTCTGCAAGTCCATACATATGCATACCCATCATTACTAAACTCATTGCCATGGTGTTACCAAAGTAATAAATACTGTCAAAATAATATGATGTCAATTATGTCAATGACTTTGAAACGGTTGGGATGTATGTTTTTAAAATGTGAGATTCTTTAGAACAGTACAAGATATCGATTTGAACAAAGTATACTATTCTTGTAGAAAAAAGATGAAGGAATCAAACGGTGGAAGCAAAATGTCAAATTTGTCACCTTTGTCAAAAATTCCTACATTAAACGGAAAAAATCGTCCCATCCTGTACAAAACAAAATCACTGAACAGCCGTTTACATTTTAAAAGGAGCATTAGTATGAGTTGATTTAAAATTATATATGAAATATGTTTCTTATTTTTTTTTTTTTTTTTTCAAGTGTTTTATTTGTTCTAATTAGAAAAAAATATATATGGTAGTCAGGATTAGATCGTCTGGCTACAGAGTGAGATAAATAACTAATGAAATCACAAGAAATTTAGATATTTTTATAAAGAAATAAAAAAACTAAATGACATACACCAAAAAATAACATAAAAAATAAGACAAAGAAAAAAACAGCAATTATTCCTAACAAGTCCAGATTTATGTATTTTCTATTAAATCTTCATGCTCTATACACTTTTCATGTCTCATTTCGCACGTTATTTTCATGTCATCCAATGTTTACAAATTGAGGGAAATATGGAAGAGTTGCGACAAATAAACAGCAGACAGATACCACCAGTAAAACTGAGGAGAGTTGAAAATTACGTACGAAAGGGATATGAAAAGTGTGTAGAGAATGAAGATTTGATCGAGAATACAAAAATCTGAACTTGTTAGGAGTAATTGCTGTTTTGTAGTTTGTCTAATTTTTATGTCATTTTCTGATAGATATCATTTATTTTTTATTAATTTCATAAGAAATCTAAATTTTCGGTCATTTTATTAGTTATTTATTTCACTCTGTAGCCAGATGATCTAATCCTGACTACCATCATGCCTGATATCATTCAATTATTCAAATTTTAAGAATTATTATACACGGTGACTTGAAAAGTGATTAAAAACACCCCGTATGAGATACTGTTGTGAAAATCAGTATGGGAGTATTTGTGAGTCATCCGTTTTCTTTAATTTTGCTTGAGTTTTTGGGATCGCAGTAGGTTAAGAAATTGTGATTGATAATTTTTGTTTGCTCGAAAAAGAAGATAATTTTGAGTAGTATACTGTGAGAAAAAAATACATATCGCCCTAGGAACACGAAAGTACAGGGGTGGGGCGGACCAAATTTTAACACACTGTAGATAGGCAATTTCATGAAAACAAGTGATCGGCAAATGATTGCGGCACTCAACCTGTTACGACACCCTGTATAGTAATCTTATTTTGGTACTTAGCAATGAATACTACCCCAGCTTGTCCCTAGCTTGGCCCTAATTTGCCCCTAGCCTTGCTTGTTCAAAAATATATACTAACATAACTTGATGGTATCATACTTCTTTATTGACTAACACTGTACATGCTATAGAATATTTGTTCCCACTGAACACATCACTTGGCCATATGGCTCCACCTAGTACATTTGCACCATAGATCTATTACATTCGATAAATTCCTGCAAGAAATGTTTAGGAAATGTTTATGAAATTAACACCAGTAACATGAAAAAATCTAGTCTAACATTATCATCTTAGTGCACTGAGGATTGATATTTTGTAAACATCTAACGTTTCATATTGAGGTAAAGTGAGGTTTTGAAAGTAAAGAAAGTATAGTATAGCACTCTCTTTGACTGAAGTGGCGTTTATAATACTTTATCTACACTAAGGTAATTTGTCAATGGAGATACATCGTTTTTATATTCCAGGCGTGCTTAGTCGAAAATGATGATGATCCTACTCAAGAGTCTGTCACTTTCCTCTACAAAGTGGCAGAAGGTAGATGTCCGAAGTCCTATGGGTTCAACGTTGCCAGACTTGCTGGACTTAATCACAGCATCATTGTCAAGGCCAGGACAGTAGCCAAAGAGCTAGAAGAAACGAGCAAACTATGTGATATTTTCAGATTTGTATTCACGTCTAAGGAAATGTCTGAAGTGAGAGAAAAATTAGCAAGTATTGTTTTGAATTGATGAATATATCCTGTGAAGATGCATTTTTTCTGGTCAGGAGCCACTATGTTCTTAGTATTAATGTTCTCTTGTTCTTTTTTTATAATTTTTTGTTCTACCTCAGAAGTTTGTTATGAGGATTGATGTTTTGTTTTGTTACTTAGTAGTTTTAGTGTTGTAAGATGTCCAGATATACCGGGTCTCAACGAATCTATTAGACCAGCCATAACTTCTAGAAAATTCGGTGTATCAAAATGAAATCTAATATGGGTATATGGTATGTGAAGAGGAAAGTTTTCGCATATTTTTCACATTCTGGTCACTTGCGGTTTCACCATAAATGGATCCAGTTTTGAATTTTTAAATTATATATATAATATTTTAGAATTTCTGAGAAAATTCCGGATCAGAATATGACATTTTGAGAAGTTTTTACGCTTACTTGACTTTTCAGAGTCACTTTTAATATTACATCTAGGTGGCCATGATCAGACGTGAACTTATCTAAGGACCTATGGTCAGATAATTATAATCGTGAAATTTTAGTGACCAGTATGATAGATAGGAAGAAGACTAATTGACAAGATTTTTTGACAAGCACTTTCCGAAAACAGTTTTTTTGATGAATCTAATGATACTAATTTATTTGCTATTGAATTGAAAATAAGAACAAATTGGATATTACTAAAGAAAATACTGGGTAAAACTGCATTTAGCATGCGATGAGTTTTTTTTTCGAAAATTTTTCTTGGTACTTACGTATTTTTGTCTGAAAAACACGAATTTGATAATGAAAATGTGAACAAACCACTATTTATCGAGATATTTCAAGAAAAAGTTCGAAATTTGGCCTTCTTTCTCCCCTTGTGTTGGGGGCATAGTCAATCCAAATATGAGATGTCAAATGTCAATAGATTGCTTTGGAATGACATTACACACGCCATTATTTTAAATGATATTCTTCCTTCTTTTCACTGAATATGGATAGATCTCAAGAAAATCATATTTATAGTTGAATCATATAATAGAATAAAATGTGTCATACATTGTGATATATATAAATTGTCCAGTGATGAAAAAAGAAAGGAAAATTGTTCTAAATGCCATCCAGAAGACAGGCGAAAAAGAAGGTGAAATTTATAACTTTATAGTCAAATATCTTGATAAATAATGGTTTGTTCACATTTTCATTATCAAATTCGTGTTTTTCAGACAAAAATACGTAAGTAACAAAAATGAGTTTCGAAAAAAAAAACCATCACATGATAAATGCAGTTTTACCATATTTTGTAGTTATATTTTTCGAGTCTTCTTTGGAAAACAGAACACTCAGGTTTACACTTTTCACACGAAATTTACCTAAAATAGAGAAACTTTCACTGTCTCCTCAATAGGCTTATGGCACAGAGTTTTGTTTTCCAAAGAAGATTCGAAAAACATACAATGAAATATTATGCATCATGGCTACCCAGGGCTCACTCTACAAATGTGGAGGAATAAATATCCAGTATTTTCTTTATTGATTTGAATGTCTGTTCCTATTTTCAATCCAATCGCAAATAAATTAGTATAAATGGTTGCCATTTGAAAAATTATAGTTGGACACGGAAATGTAATTTCGTCAACTTGTCCTCTTTCCATATATCATACTAGTCACTAAAACTTTGCGATTTTTATTTTCTGGCAGGTCCTTAAATAATTTAACGTCCGGGCCACCTAGATGCAATATTAAAAGTGACGCTGAAAACATGAATTAGGCGTGAAAACTTCTGAAAATGTCATATTCCCATCCAGAATTGTCTCAGGAATTCAAAACTGTTATAATATACAGGGTGTTCCATTTGAAAATTCGAAACCGGATCCATTTCCTGTGAAACCGGGAAGTGAGGAATATGCAAAAACTTTCCTTTTCACATACTATATAACCATATCAAATTTCATTTTGATACACCCAATATTCTGATAGTTTTGTCTTGTCTAATACATTCGTTGACACCCGGTATTGACTTTGTTCATTCAGACAGAAATCTATTATGCATGTTTGCCAAATAAAAACTAGTTTTATGAAATGAGGAAAGCCAAAAATTAATTTGCCCTAATTACTAGCTCCCTCTGATGGACACGTCAGGTGTGTTTTATTTAAATTACAGCTGCATCATAACATTGATAATAATAATTAGGTATCAAAAAAAAGTTGATGGAAGATTAAAAAAGACAGATTTTTTGAAAAATTGTAATTTGTAATTGTAATTTGACAGACAAATAATTGGCAAGCCATTTCTCATAGTTGCCTTATTGATGATTGATTAGGATGCTATTTTATATTACCTCATTCAACAACAGTATGGATTCATCATTTATCAATTACTGAAAAATTTTTCATCTACAGTAAGTACTCATCTAGACAAACAACACCTATTGAAATTCGTCTCCTCAAATGTCGCTTTTGTTAGAAGTTCATGTGAACAAAGCGCTCGTTTTATTCAATCTTTCCGCAATAGGCGAAAGCTGTCATGTGAACGCGCCATAACTCAGCATAATATAATGTATTCATTTAACTTTTTTTTTATGGAACCAAACAAAATTGATATTCGAATTGTATTTGTATGTAAGTTTCAAATTTTGCAATACCTAACTCATTTTGTTTTGCAGCAGACCACCTGGCGAGTTTACCTGTGACAAAATAGCCAGTCCTAATGAGAAATTAGATTTCATAATTAAGAGATGAAAGATTTTGCCTCAATTGTCAACAAGGGCAAACAGACAATACTGTTTTGCGCCACTAGGCCTCATCAGCCGCTCTCGGTCTGCTGACTAGATGAATATGTGTACCACAAGCATTATCAATCTGTTGGAATTGTCAGCAGACCGAGAGCAACTGACAAGAGGATATAGTTTCCTATGACACTGGCCAGTTTTTCATCCAATATCTGAATGAGAATTTGAATTCAGAATTTACTGCACCCTGTATTACAGAAACAGAGTCTGAATGCAAGATTGGGCGTGTTTTTCATTCCATCGAAGAAAGTGCGCACTGATAGATGCGGTTTTTTGTCGTGACGTCACCAATTGTTCTGTTGGAATTTATGCTGGAAGGATTGAACAATGGTTTATACAACACATTGATGGAAACACGGATTTTGTTGTGTGTCAGTCATCATGTATCTTGAGTATCAGAAAAGGCTAATTCGACTTTATTGATTAACACTGACTCTATCATCTAAAATCTCTCAAGAAACTCAAAAATCCTCAATATTAATTGTTTTCTATCAAATCAAAACAAAAAACAACACTAAAATGTGTCAACTGTCATGTCAATCTCCTCCAAACTGCTGGATTCTCGAAATGCGATTTAAAAGTGCGCATTTTTTTACAACAGTTTGATGGATGTCCATCAACATTCCAGCAGAATTTTGCAACAGTTTGATGGTTTCTTCGATTCATGCGCATGATAAAATATTGGAATGAAAAACGCACCCATTGGATGAAAAATAGAATTTCCTATTTTTTATTCATTTTATATTGAAGCGCTTGCGCATAACTCCGTTATTTAACCTTCAAATTGTTTGTTTTGTTTTGAAATGAACAATTTTTTAGGGTTATGATAATGTCACTGTTGGTATTTTGAAAAGGGTATTGATAAGGATGGAGAGAAGAGTATTGATGTAATATAAATTACAAATATTATATGTCCACTGATTAATTTTACTATTATCTCAAATTCAGATCAGTTCTATAATGGTTTGGTCTTCGGAGTATATGTTGGTGCTTCAATTGAAGAATACCAAAAATATCCCTGTTTGTTTGCAATCAAACACCCAGAGAAACGCTCGAGGAGAATGTAGATGCTTTGACAAAGATGAAATGTGAATTGAGGACCTACCTCATTTCTGGTGAAATACATTCTCGCATATTTGTATCGTTTTTGATTTATTTTGTAGAGACCAAAAGTGAACTGATCACTTCATTACTACATTCTTCAATTTTGAATCTTCCAAAAATATATTTTGGGGTTATTACTATACACGCACAACCGCCGAACAAGTGTCTAGCTAGACCAGCGAATCTTCAAACATCGAGGTCAAGTGACGTCATCCACAGCACCAGATAGTTCTTTATTCGGAAACTACAGCTAAGTACTACAAAGCAATAGGTTAGTAGTTTGTGAATCTGACTTCCATGGTGTCGGGATTCAATCCCTGCGAGGCGTCAATTTTTTTTTCACTCCAAAAAGAAGGACAAAAGGTTGAAACTACTTTACTTCTTCATGAGGAAGAGATATTTTCCTTCCTTATATTATCTTATAAGTTATAAACAAGAATCACCTACTGATAACCTTGAGATTTGAAAGATTCGCTGGTCTAGCTAGACGCTTGTAACCGACGAACCGGCATGAGCATCCAAGGCTATTTTACTCCAATGTGCATTACATATTGCATATTCTATATTATTTCATAACATGCGCATGCCCCTTGTCACAATATCTTATCTGTGACACAGTTTAATCTACGGTGATGATCGGCGTCTCGGAGCAGACAAGATCAGAGGATTAAACTGTGCTCGGAGTAGGAATGTAGAGGGTAGTTAACTTCATTCTGGCAGGTTAGGTTAGGTTAGCCAAAAATCCCAGCGCATGAATCAGTTTCACAAGTTCGATTCCCTGATGCCTGAGTGGCTTACCTTTTTCCTTAAAGAATTGGCGGTCTAGATTAGTCTATAAGTCGGTGGGTTAACCGGTGATATACGGTACACACAGGCCCTGATTAAGAGTTCTGACCACCCTAGGCTAATTATGAGAACGCGCCCCCGCCATGAGTATTACGGTCGGCCTAAAGTAGTATATTAGTCTTGACTTTGTTTACTAGTATAAAAAATTTGACATGGTTCATACTACCTATAAAAGTTTTCGACTTTAAGTATTATTTATATATTTACATTTCTGTAATCTTAAAGACGAGAGGCATCATACAAGTGAAACATTTTTGCAACTGATTAATGTTTTATTTGAAAATCATAATAATTGAGTAATTATTATTTGCTTATAATAAGGTCTTTTTTCTTGCTTTAGCGTTTGCAAATCTTTCCACAATTTTTTCAAATTCGATAGTTTGAAGAATATCACTTTCTATGTAAATTAGAGAGAGCGCTGCAAGCTTTTGCTGGCGGAGTGTGGAGCGTAAGTAATTTTGTACTCTCTTCAGTGCTGAAAAAGACCTTTCGCCGCTGCAGTTGGTAACACTCATTGTCAAAGAAATTCTTAATATTATCTCCACATTCGGGAACATGCTTAAAATATTAAAACTTTTCATAAACTGCAACAAACCCTTTGGGGTTCTGGCATAAAGAGAACGCTCGACCTCGGTGTCAGATTTTGAAAACTGCGCCAAATGGACGCATCCTTCTGCAATGGTTTCTTCTCAGTAGCATATAGTTGTTTCAACTCCTTTGCTCTGCTTCTAATAAATTCACTGTCGTCTAGTTCATGCAGTTTCCATAAGAAACCAAACTTTGTGTTTACTGTATTATGAATAATTTGCCGGTTTTTTATATGCACTTTAAGACAATCAATAGCTGCATAATAATTATCAACGATGAAAGATCGTCCCCTTTCTAACTCAATGAGCCCCGTTTAAACTTCATCAAAATGAAATTTTTGTTTCTTTCTTCTTCTTACGCGCGCTTTTTAAAATTTCAAAATTCATTGTTAAAATCAGGGACTATCAAGCGCATTTCGTTTGTATATGTAGGTAGATGCAATGATGCTAGATTAGTGCATGCGAAGACACGATTTTAGCGCGTCTTGCGCGCCCCTCCGATCTTCGCGCCTAATCAGCCTAATGGTTAATCAGGCCATGGGTACACATCCTCGATTAGAGCTAATGATGTTGATGTGTCCACTGACGCAAAAAAAGCAGACGTAGTGTTCGAAGCCTTTTTGAATGCTGCGAAATTTACGGAGATTATTACATCCTCGCTTAGATCATACATTCCTGTTTGATCTAAGCATCTTCGTTAGAGAAATCCGACTGTGAATGGCCTTAACCTAATGAATATATTTCAATTAGTTTCGTGTTGGGTCCACAGAACTCATATTTATGAGTTCTGTGGGTACAAGATATTTGATCTGCCTCTGGAATTCAGCGTGAATTCAGCTCGCTTTACATCTGTCACCGGTCATCAACTGACATCTGTCATCCGTCATCGAAGGCATTTTTGGTCATCTTGAAAGGATGGGTTAGATGCTTAGATGGTGGATTCATCCCCCCAACCCAACAAAGGGAGGTTAGAACAGTAAAGGGCGCCGTACATTATGCTATTTCTCGGAAAGTTTGAGGCAATGCAATTTTCCCAATTTATTGCGAGTCGCCGTACATTGAGATATTTCTGTCATATTTTCTTGTTCATATTCACTATTTTCAGGTTTTTTGAGCCTTCAATGTACTTTCTGAGGTTATTTGGTGTTTCAGGCCACGTTATGGAGAAAATTTGTATTTTATCAAGATGCTACGATGAATATTACTAAAAATTTTACTAAATTTGCCTTGGAATTGCAGGAAAAATAGGACTGGTTCTATTACGGAACTTGCATGAAACTTGCCGTGAAATATCATAGACGCATGCGCATTGTTCGATTCAAAATTGCATTGCATCGAACTTGCTGGTAAATAGCATAATGAACGGCGCCCTTTAGGTAGGGTAAGGTTAGGTCACGTGTCATCTGTCCCCGCATGCCTTTTTGGTCATTTTGAAAGGGTAGGTTAGAGGGTGGATTCATCCCCCCACAAGGGTAGGTTAGAGGGGTAACAAGAATTAAGAATCACTTTCATTTGTCGTTAGCAAGGTGTAAAGTGAGTTCATCTCATTTGCCCCGGACTGCATTGGACCTAAAATATTCAATGGTAACAAAAGCGACCAATAGGCGTTGATGCCGACGTAGGGAAAAAATAATACAAAGCTTGTCAAACCAATATGACTGTTTCCATCCTTCACTCTCCGTCCTTATAGAATCAAAAAGTACCTCTCATTTTGTTCCCATTTTTGTTGATATATCGTATAGGCGATGCGTCATATATAGAAATGTAGATATATAGGTAGTACTGTTCGGAACATTCGGAATATCGGAACATGTTCTCTGAATATCTTATATTTTTATTATTCTGTCCTACCTGTCAATCCTGTCATGTCAGTATCTGTCTGTGGTCTGTGCTCTGTGTCTGGTGATCTCCCTGATTTTTTTAAAATAATTTTGATTTTTTCAGAAATTTGAAAATTTTAATATTGTATGTGACATTTTTTGTGATACATTAACGTTCGAAATCGGTTGAGATGGCGGCAAGAATAATGAGGAAGTCTCCATTTTCGTTGGGGCAATTATTACAGAGAGTAAAATAAATAATTATATAACCTAACCTGTCTCACCTTTGAATTTTAGGGCCAATCTACAATGTCAGCATTTGAAATCCAACACAAAACCCCCCTCATCAGGAAATCAGTAAGTTGACTCATGTTTTCTGGGACTCATGGTTAATTATTTATATTCAAGAGTCCCATACCAGTGGCTCTATATGGTGGTCGCAATGCTGTATCTATGTTACCTGGAGGAGGTATTGGTCCTGAACTGATGAATTATGTCAGAGAAGTATTCAAGTACGCTGGAGCACCAGTAGATTTTGAAGTCATTGATATTGACCCTAAAAGTGATGAGAATGCAGGGTTAGATTATGCAATTACATCCATCAAAAGAAATGGAGTAGCTATTAAGGGTAATATTGAAACCAAAAGTGAGAGTGCTGGTGTTTTATCAAGAAATGTAGCTATAAGGAATGAATTGGATTTGTATGTCAATATTCTCCATTGTAAATCTTATCTTGGAGTCCCTGCTAGGCAGAAGGATATTGATATTGTTATCATCAGACAGAATACTGAAGGTGAATATGCCATGTTGGAACATGAGGTAAGATCATCTGTAGTTATGTTTTGTAGAATAATGTGAGTTCAAACATTGTTTTGTAGAGTGTGGATGGTGTTGTGGAAAGTATGAAAATTGTTACTGAGACAAATTCTGTAAGAGTTGCAAGATTTGCTTTTGAATGGGCAAAGAGGAATGGCCGAAAGAAGATAACTACTATTCATAAAGCTAACATCATGTAAGAGTTACCAGAGACAATAGAGCTAGTTATAGAAGAGGTTCAATTGGTCTTTAGCTTTTAACTGTATTGAAGAGCACTATATTTTTGGATATTCGCCCTCATATTCAACATATCTATCATTTATTCCTCTCATCCTCACTGCAGAAGGCTTGAATTATGTCCCTAGTTATATTCTTATGATAAAATTACTAATGGATCCATGCAGTGAAAATAAACAGTTACCTTGTTCTCAGCATTTACATAAACCATCTAGAAAATACCAAAAATAACAAATTTCTTCAAACATTCCTAGTAGTTGTGGATACCAAGCTAACATCAGGATACCTAAGGGGAAGTGTGTTTCTCATTTTAAATTTTCATTAAAGAGTTAACTGCAGTCTGGACATACAAAAAACATGTATTACCTTCAGTTTCTGCTATTTTCTCTCAATTTCTGTCTATTCCTCCCATTCTTTTCCTACTATTTCCTTCAATTTCTCATTCATTTTTTCCATTTCTTCCCATTTTTGTTTTCCTTAATTCCCATTTATTTCCTATGAAGTGCATGAGTGTGGAGGTTTGATTACATTTCCCATTCTCTTATCCCCTTCCATTCCTGTTGATTTCCTTTTGTTCTTCTTTCAGCTACTTAGAATGTAGAACTTATCTCCTCAATTATATGAGACATTCCTCTGTGGTGAACTCAATTTTGCCCTTGTAAATTGCTCCATTTTTTCATTGAAATTTTCCAACTTCATTGTTTGAAAATAAAATGTGATGAGTTTTATCAAATTCTATCTGAATGCATGAAAATATTCATGGGCAAATATAAGGTAGGTATTTATTACTATGATTTTTATGGGCAGTTATAATTCAGTACTTGGAAATACAAAAATTCAAAATTTTTTACATAAACTGGTGTTTTTTGAATGGAACTTCCTGTATTTCATTTTCCTAATTGTAGCTCTTCTGTCTGATTTCAAATCTAAAGGGTGAGTCAGTTTTTGTAGCAGAACTTCAACAGCTTGAAGAAGATACTATTCTAAGGTAAAAATCTCATGTAAACATATATGAGTAGGAACCAGGTAGTGTGATATTTTTATACAGGGTGATTCAGGTGTTGAGGTACAAACTGAAACGGGTGATTGATTTCATCATTTCAATCAAAAAAGCTAAAAGCATGGTGATCAAAAAACCTCGAAATTTTTCGGCTAATTTTGGTTTTTAGCCTTAAAGTCCTATAAGGCGGCTTCCTAAAGAAACACTCATATCAACCTTTTTTAAAGCTGGATAAATTCCCTAGAATTTGAGTCTAATTTCATTCCTTTAGGTCCAATGAATCCAGAAATACAGGACCTCAAAGTTGGATTTTTCTTCAAAAAGTTGAAAATTGTACTTTTGGCCCTCTTCTGAGCAAAATATCGGCTCTAATACTCATCCTACGAGGAAAGTTATGAAAAATCAAGTTGTAGTGTATTCATATAGCTATAATTCCAGCTCACAACCAAGCATGTAGGCCCCATAGCACCATAGCTATCTTTAAAAAACCCAGAAAAAAACACTACAGTTAAAAATTGGATTGTTTGAGAAATGGATCCTGACATTAGATTTGCTATACTAACCTATTCTGAATATAAAAGATATGAAATATAAATGAAAATATATGAACTAGGTATATGAAATATATTTGAATTAATATGGTGGGCAGATCGAACACTTATAATTTCTTCCACAAGTTGTTCGGAAAATATATTATATTTGACTTTACTGCACTAAAAGCAAATTTTACCAACCCTTTATCATACCTTTGAGAGTAAAAAGCATTCATTTCATCAGAAGTATCACCATCGTAAGAACTGCTTTGGAAAAGAGTGAGTCCATTGAAAGAGTTTTTATAATTGGGGAGGATGTGGATCTGCTCGTTCTTCTCAGTGGCTTGGGCTCCTCTGTGAACAACGTGTTCTTCCAAAAAAGTGGCAGGGGTGACTGTGGGCCTTTACAATTTTCCACCAAGTCGTTCAACCGCACGGAAGTTCCGTACCCATCAGGATTGGAGTTGTTTCTCCACGCATTTACCGGTTGCGACACTACCTCTTCTCTTTTCTGGCAAGGGAAGAACAAAATGCTGAGTGCCTTCCAGAAAGATATTGCCCTGATGAACATAGCCACCACATTCCTCAAGCCTGATGCCACTCACGAAGAGGTTGCCCTAGCTGGCTCGAGCTGATTGGTTGCTCTCTACGGAGGAAAGGAAGGCGACAAACTCCACGCCCTCCGGTACAAGCTCTTTGTCCGTTCAGCTGCCAACGCGAAGGTGAACCTGGCTCGTCTACCCCCAACCGAAGAAGCAGCGGCCCAACATTCGTACCGCACATACCACCAGGTGCAGACGTGGTTGGAGGTGGACAAGGAGCCAACTGCATGGGGATGGACGAAAAGCGAGCAGGGCTTGTTTCCAATCCTAAATACTGCTCAACCAGCTTCACTCACGCTCCTCAAACTGATTTCCTGTAAGTGCAAGATAGGCTGCATGGGTGGGTGCACTTGCAGGAAAGCAGAGGTCTCGTGTGCTTATGACTGTGCTCAACTTGCCGAGGCAAATCATGCCAGAACAAACAGGCCATCGAACTGGAGGATTCAAACGATGAGGCCGATATCGATGACCCGGCTCCCATCGATTGCCCTCCTCGATCAAGCAGTGAAGAATCTGATGGTCCCTCCAAAAAAAGGCGTTAATACCGCCCCCCTTTCCATCGAACATTCACATGATTCAAATGTACTTATTATTACTCAGCAATATATTGGGTATCGAATTTGTTTTATTTCGCTTCTTTAAAATACGCAAATACAGCAAATTAAATCATCAAGCTCCATTTCTACAAAAATCAAATTTTCAACTGTAGTGTTTTTTAAGGATAACAATTGGACCTACATGCTTGTTTATGGGTTCAAATTGAAGCTATATAAATACACTCATAATAACTTTCCTCGTAGGATGAGTATTAGAGCCGATATTTTGCTCAGAAGAGGGCCAAAACTACAATTTTCAAATTTTTGAAAAAAAAAGCCAATTTTTGAGGTCCTGTATCTCGGGATGTATCAGACCTCGAGAAATGAAATTAGACTCAAAATGTTGGACATTAATCTAGCTTCAAAGAAAGTAAATGTGACTTTTTCTCTAGGAAGCTATCTTTATAGGATTTTTGCGCTAAAAATCGAAATTAGTCGAATAATTCCGGGGTTTTTCGAGCACCACACTTTTAGCGCAAGTCTTTCGGAGCTGCAAACTTGGTTTTATACTATTGGGAAATAGCCTAACATCATGCAAAAAAAATTCAATGTGCGAATTTATGCGAACTAGGGTGTCTAAAATCAGCGGCCTATGGGTAGATGACATGTATCTAGAATTCCAGAAAGCAGATAACAAATATACTATACATGGTGGGGCAATAATGCGTCAGAAGGAGAAGCCCATTGCTCGGGTCCTATGATAGCTAGAAATATGAACACGGAACTAGATAATAGGGTCTACAACTAGAAATCATTGCCGCATATACAGAATGCACTGAAATAAGTGCAAATATTTCGAACCCGGAAAAAGCTCGACGTATACTATCGAATGACACCATTAAAAAAATATTGAAATCAAAATAAAATTTAGGGTGTAACCCCTTTTTCCACCCAAGGTTTTACACTGTAGCAATTCTGATGTCACCTCTGTTCGAATTTTCATGCGGAAAGCACAATCACGCGGAGTTCATCATTTAAATTGTTTTAAAGTGGCATACATGACTTTTTCCCCGTTTTTTGTTCAATACTCGGGATGAAATTTGTCGTTAAATAAAAGGAAGAAATGAAAAAGTCAGACTGTACATATATTCGTACTTATTTCGAAAACATCGTGTGTATACTAGGAAAATTACTCTCGTCGCAATTATGGAATTTGAGAGGAAATACATTTAATGTCATGATAGACAGATTTGTGGTATACCTGATTCATTTGCATGCTCCTAAATTATACAGATTTTTATGAATTGATTTTTCTCAAGTATTTCAAATGGAACATTCTTATACGGGTAATTCAAATTCGAGGGTTACCGGAAATATGATCGAAATCAATTGATGGAAAAATCATATAATCCAAAAATCAATTGATCGAAAATCAATTATTGATCATTCAAAAACAATAATTATTATTTGCGACACAAATGATCCATTGAACTTCTTCTATAACATAAAAGAAACATGTATATTCGATGAATATTAATAGTTATTTCTCTCTATAGTGTCAATTTATTGATTGAAACCACAGTACAAAAGGAACTTCAAATTTAATTATTATTACTTGGAAATTGAACCTATTTGACACATTGGAATCTGTATCAGTGTAAATGAGCAACTCAAAATTTTAATATTTTGAAAATGGTTAGACATAGCTATAGGGACATAAGTAATGAAAGTGTTCGTATTCAAATTCTACTTCATATGCCTACTTGAAAAATAAGACAAAAATCAACTCTAATAGTTCTGAAAACATACCTCCTGTACGGTTCTGAGACGTGAAAAAGGATCAGAAACTCGATCAAAAATATTACACGTCTGTTGCGTTAACACACTTAAGTGGTTATTATAATTTTGTTTTGATATTTCTTTTATATATTTTGAACGTATGATCCGCGATCAAAGACACTAAACGGCGCACGCCTCAGTAATGTGGCCAATCGGAGGATTTTTCCGAACCGAAGTACCCGAGTACAGAGCAGAAATACGAGTACGCTAGGTACTACCGCAATAACTCTTTACTGGCGCGAACACGAGATTTTTCTATATACAAAAGTGTCGGAATTAATCGCGGACCTTTTCTTCTGTGCTATTTTCCTGTGTTATGGAGGATTGGTGAGGTGCTAGACCTCATAATCGATTACGAAGATCATCAGAAAGGGCCCTTTCACCGGCAGTCAAGAACACCAGTCTATGGCGTCCACTGGAGGTGAGTCCGTTTAGTGCACTCGCTTTAT